ACAAACAACATTGAAAAACAACATGTAAAACACAAACTCATTTTTCGGTCTCCAGGAAAATCTCACTGATAAAAAATTTCTGGTCTCCAGCAAAATATGATATATATACCCTTCTTTACAGTAAACATTACCTCTTTTAAGGCAACAGTACAAATATTGTAGATTAGTGAATATACAGATAGATAAGAGGAAGACTGTGCAGGGGAAGACTGAGAGCATATGAAAGGATATGCTGCCTGCCAAAATACTCTGGACTGTTGAAATATTCTGTTGCTGCACAGATTAAAAGCGGACTCCTGAGGCTGCTCTTTTACACAATTTATTCAAATTCTCAGTTTGTCCTAGAGTCTAGGAGTTGCAAAGATGCTATTGCAGCCACTTGTGTTCTCCTTCAACATAATACAGAACCAAAAAGAGTAAAGAGCATTAGAGCCACTGGTTACTTGTTTTATTCTTGGTATGCCATCTCTGCTAATCATTTTTTGTCATTGAATGACCTTTGCTCTGCCCTTCTTTAATCTGGAGACATTTATGGTAAAGATGTACTTGCACACAGATAAATGAATCTGAAAGATGTGTATTCTGAAAAGAAACAATCACCAAATAAAGGTGAAATGCAGAAAAAAAAAGTACAAGCCAGTGCTAAAAGATCTTCTCTAGAGTACAAATAATGCTAAATGAACTCTTGGGTAAAATTCTATGGCCTGGAATATAATTCAGGTCCAACAGATGATTATCCCCTTCAGGCTTTCCTATTTATTAAATAAGATATTAATTATCTTATTTAAAAACCCACATATGAAATGTTCTTTTAAACAGACTTGGAGTTTTAATCTTGCTTTAATTTACAACTACAAAGTGAACAAAAACATAAAAAGAAATGTTTGAGATTTGGTGCATCTCAGCTGAAATAGGAAGCAAATTCTTTATCCACATCAATTTTTGGTTAAGGCTAAAAATAATTCAGAGGCATCATTTGAACAATATTTTTCTGTATTGAAATTATTATTTCTGCATTAAAACTATAGAAATAAATATTAGAGATAAAATATAGTAAAAGTTGGACTTTTGCTTCAATAAAATGAGATGCATAAATTGTAGATTATTTTAACACAATACAGTACTTATGGAAGTATACTTTGACAGTGATAGCAAAATAAATAGGTCAGGATAGAAAGAAGATTGAGTGCTTAGTGTTTTCAGACAAACACGTAAGTTGTCCAGTTGAGTCAATGTATTATGAAATCAAGTTCCTTTTCTGACCTGGCTATGCTTTACTTCTGTAGCTTGCCAAGTATTTATTTCTACTCTAAGTACCAAAGATTCTTTGTTCTGTAAGAACTTATGACATCCGTGCATCATCACCTCTATTAATTCATCAGTAACCGCACAGACCTATTATTTAAGAGCCTTGTAGCACACCTACTTTCTTTTGTCCCTCTTAAGTCATTCTAAGAAAGCTGTTTGCTGCATCTTTTCCTGGAAGAAGTGATTCAACACCTCTTTTTCAAAAAAAAAAAAAAAAAAGAAAAAAGAAAAAAGAAAAGAAAAAAGAAAAAGAAACACCTAAACTCACATACAGCCATACTTTAGACATACTGTTTTAACTCCTCTGCTTTTCTATAAACCAAAATACAGCACAACATATGAAAAAGAGAAAATATCCTAGCGTCACTGACAGTTATCACTGGAAGCACAAAGTAAATGAAATCTTTTGTCAGTGAAAAGAACACTTGTAAGGAAAGACGGGAAGTGAAACAAATACTATTTAAAACACAGAAAGTCCACATTTTTGAGCAGGGAAAATTCTGGTGATGAGGTTGCATTTACACTTGAGGTTTCATTCAGCTGAACTGAGGGAGAAAATACAGTATAATTTACTAAAGCAGAGGTTAATCTGGACTATCCAGCAAAAAGTCTCTATAATCTCTATTTATAACACAGTAATTCGTTTTGCCTACCTGAGACCTCGCTGATGAAGGCCTGGTATCACATCATCCCAGTTCTGCTCTGAATCACCTCAGTTGGCTGATTGTCTTTCCAAAATCAGTCTCTGGTGAATTGTTTTTAGTGAACATATATATGAACTCCACTTCTTTAGAAATCTGGTCTCTGTGGAAATCAGTAATGGTTGTTTCTGGGGACAAGGCAACCAGGACCATGGCTGAGCACATGTCACGAAGCAACAGCATTCTCAGCAGGCTTTTCCTCTGAATGCAAATCTCATCAATGGTAAGAGATCCAAATCCACAGTTTGGATATCACACATCTCAGAGCACTTTTTAGATGTAATTTTAGCATTTAAATACTCAAAAATTACATTTGAGGAATATATGTAACTAGTATTCTCTCACAGCACTTTAAATCGGGACTGAAACACATTCCATGTCACATTTGCAAAATGACAGCATCACTTCACTGTTTATTTTGCATATAAGACTGCTGTAGACTGTGCTGATATGCAAAATGTCCTTTTCTTATCCAGTCAGGAATTTGACATGTTGCCTTTCATTAACAAGCGTGTTTCAGGTTCTTTAACACCACCATGTAGCAATGGAAGTAGTTCTTTTCATTCACTTCTGTTCAGGGAATCATTGTGCTCTTTGCCCTTCTCAACCCAGTTTCTGCTAGTGAGATAACCTTCCATGACCAAATGCAAAATATTTTGGCAGACTTGGGGGCATCGGTACTGTTTGTGGAGTTCTTCCATCAAGAATTAGCTATTCCTGCTGTATACACTCATCCAGAAGATCCACTTCCACCTGCTGAGACTTGTTTTCCTGCAGTTCATGTAAACTATGCACTTCTCTTGCTACCTCATATTTACCAAATCCATAGAAGAAAAAGGGTATCTTCTACTCTTTATTTATGATTGCTCTTTCCTTTGCTACTTTCTCTCCTTGAGAAAAGACACCTGAAGCTTTGGACCTTTTTAGTGCTAGCTTTCCTCCTGTCGTGAATAGCTGTCTGCCTAAACGCTTTTGCCATTACCTAACATCCATGGCATCGAACAGGTTCTAACAAAACCTAAAATTCCTGTGAGGGAGCTCAACCGTCTCCCTAGTAGTCCAGGTCCTGGACATTTTTGATTGTAGAGCTACACAGTGAGGTCGACTCCTTAGTACCGTGCCACAGCACGCCAGGCAGCTCTCGACAGCCCTTTCCCCCACAGACCCCCACCCCCCTCCCAACGGTCACTCCAACGGTCGCGCCCCGCTCTCCCTCATAGGAGACCCCGTGGCGCCACTTGCGCATGCGCTGCCCCGGCGCCTTTCCCGCCTGCCAGCGGCAGGGCGCGGCGCATGCGCACTATATCTGCGCCGGCCGCGGCGGCGGGGCGCACGCGGCTCGCTGTACGCACGCGCAGAGGCTGCGCCGCCGGGCCGCCTTCCTCTTCCGGCGTGGGCGTGGCCAAGCGGTGAGGGCGGGTCGTGTCCATGGTGGCGGCTGCGCGCATGCGCGGCCCGGCGGCGCTGGCGTCAGGGCGGCCTGTGCGCAGGTGAGCGGCGGTGCGGCCTGGGGCGGGGCAGGCGGCGGTAACAACAGGAACAACAACAACAACAACAATAATGATGATGATGATGATGATGATGATGATGATGATTATTGATGATGATAGTGGTGATGATGATGGGGCGCTTGGAGAGCCAGGCCGGGCCCAGCACCGGGCCCAGCACCGGGCCAGGCCGGGCCCAGTACCGGGCCCAGCACCGGGCCAGGCCGGGCCCAGCACCGGGCCCAGCACCTGCGTGGGGCGCGGCCCGTAAGGGGTTCGGTCTGATCTGCTCTGCTTGGTTTTGTTAAGGAGGAAAAGCTGGGCCGGGCCTTCCTAGAAGGCGAGGTGACAAACGCTGTGTGCTTGCTCTGGTTTTAGCCCCCACACTCTTTCTGGTTCTGTTCCTTAGGGATTGTCAGCAGTATGTACCCCTTTCTTTAAAAAGTTAACTTATTTTGGAGAGGGATAGATGACTAGGGGATGGTTTAAACCCTATCTTTCACAGCAGCCTGTTTGAACCCTGACTATTTATTTAAAAACTGCTCTGTTTGTACCGTGAGTATGTAATTTAAACTGCTCTGTTTGTACCCTGGGTATTCAATAAAAACTGCACTGTTAGTGATAGGAGATGGTGAAGCAGGGTTTGTGCTTTTTCTTTCCTATTAAAATGCATGCTGCTTAAAGCAAATAAGTGCCAATAACTTCATCTATGATGCAAGTATGTAGTTTACTGGATTTCCGAATAGGAAATCAAAATTCTTTGATAATACTTTATCAAATATTTCTGTTAATGGGACAGAGCAGGATAGTTCTGGTCTAATCCAGAGGGTCTAATATGTATTTGACCCTAGGATGCAGCTGAAGGTTGGGAAGGGTACGTGATATGGGAGATCATAGTGTAACTATGCATTTTTCTGGGTTTTGTACCTGAAAGGGTACGGGAAGACAAGGCATTTCTAAGGCCATATGTCTACTGGGAGTGCCTTGCAGGTACAGTATGTGTTTCACATTTGCCGATATGGATTTCCCTAACCAGAGCACATTCTCAAGATACTTTTCTCTTTTAGAGGGAAAAGGTAGCAAAAGCAGAGCCGTGCAGGTTCAGCTGTGTTCATGCTGTGGGGTTTGCCCAGCACAGCTGACCTGCTTGGGGATGCAGTCCTTACCCATGATGGCTATATTAACTCTTGAGCAACCTTAACTCTTGAAGAAAGATAATTGCTTATGAACAGCTTCTCACTTTTGATTTCTTTTGCCTTTTTGGATAGAGAAATGACTCATACATTAATTTTCTACCTACATTTCATTCTTTGAGTTACTTAAGATGTTTCTCCTTCTGAAAAGTCTTCAGTTAATTCACTGTCAGTGATAAAAAAAAAAAAAAAAAATACACAACTGTCCCACTTCACTTAAATGAATATTGGTTTGATTACAGATAACAATGTACTCTTGATAACTGCCATTCTACCTTGTCACCCACAGTCCTGACCTACAGAGCACTCAAGTAGAACTGGTTGTTGAATTTTTGACAGTTAAGTGCAAGGAATCCTATTTCCCGTGTTAACTGTAAGGGGTTTGTTTTTAACTTGTCTGATAGAAACCTTAATAGAGTTAGAAGTTATTTCTGCAGAGTGTGCTTTGTGGATAAAGGTATTAGGAGTTACTCAGTAACTTTAAGCATGAAACCATTCTACTTCAGGTAAATTCGTAAGGATTGGCTGACCTGTGCTGTCTACTCTGACTTGCTTAGTCTCAGAAGAAAGAAGACGAGACAGGTGAATTCTAGCCCTTCTACCGCACCTGTATCTTTAGTACTTCTAAAGTACCTTGGTTCTGTGTTTCTTTTCCAGCAATAGTAAAAATTCTTCATAGAAGATCTTTAATGTATTTCTGCTTCAATTATGTCATAAGTTTGTTTTCCTTTTTCCTAGTTTTCGGGGGTTTTTTTGAAGGGGGGTGGAGGCAGGGAGCAGTGTTTTAAGTTGCCCTTAAAACTCAACATTTATGTCTAATACGGTATTCTTTTCTCCTATGTGGTGCAGGAGACTGAAAGATTGGATCATAGACATTTTCTGAACACTTAAGTCAGCCTAAGCTGATGGAAAGCATCACTCTAGAAAGTTTTATGAAGTAATGTATCAGTTGATACAAAAGATTGATGCCGGTCTTACCCACTTGGTAATGGGTTATTGAACATGCATTGAGAGTTTTGCAGGTAATAGGCAGTTGTTTTATTGTGTGATAAAGATAGCAAACGTAAAGCTGGGAGTTCCATAGAATTCTCCTGATTGCTGAAGAAGTGTAAGAAACCTGTGATAACCAAATTCCTGTGAGGGCAAGCATAAGCTCTTTTGTAATCTTATTCTGGTGAAGCTTTCTTCTTTGGATTCAGGGGAAGTCACTTGCTATGTCTAAATATTTTCATAGTTGCTCAATGGAAAACGTGTTGCAAACTGCCTCCAGTGCTGTGGAAACATGGAGAGAAGGTAGCCGCCTGTTGAGAGCTTCAAGGAGCTGTTGGACAAAGTGATGGAAATGAAGAGTTTAAACCATCGCTTCAACATGGCAGCAGCTGAGTCTGACAAGGACTCTGGATACTCAGGTTTAGAAAAAAAATCAATTACCTTTCTGTTATTTTGCTCAGTCATTGCTTTTGTTGGTTGCACTTGATAAATCAGTCTCTTTTTTAGACCCATGCTGCTTGATCTCATTTTCTGGGATCCTGTTTGGGCTCAATACAGGTTGAAAAACCATCTTTGCCTCAGTTTTTGGAGTGGAGCTTCATGTAGTTACAAAGATGTGAATCTTGAATGACATAGGAGTTTAAAATATACCTCGTAACTTATGAGACACATTAAATCTATTAATTTCTCTAGAACATGGAAATGGGAATGGAAAGATCACTTCTAGCTCACTTCAGTGATAAATGAGCCTCTGGGTTATGCTGTCTAATGTTTCTTAGGATGCTACCTATCTTAGGATACAACCTCAGAAGAGCCCAATAAACTAGAAAGTAATTTCAATAACAGCAGTAAAACATGGATGCAGCGTTCCATTTTAATATTCAGCAAAGCTATGCGAAGATTGCCTTTAAAGGATAAAAATGCTTTTGGGAGAGATACGTGCCTTCTTGGATTTGTAAACAAGAGATTTTAAAACACAGTGACTGAGACACAGTGATGCAGAATCCTCTAATTCTTTCCTGCATCTGGCTTCAGAATAGTCTTCATGATAGTGTGCAGGCCCTTGGAGATTAAATGCAAAGGAATGGAAAGTTTGCTTGGGAGCAAGCATCTGCAGAAGAACTGGCCTGGAATACAGGGTGTTTTAATAAAGAACATTTGAAATTTGTCGCAATGTGACTAATTTTAATGATATTTTAAAACCAGATTTTATTATTCTTTATAATTTGAATGAACAGGAACAGAATGATAGAGCTGAAAGTTGTTAGCAGGCATGTAAAGTAACCAATAATTGAATTTTACATCTGGTAGATGGAAGTTCAGAGTGCCTGGGTGCTATGGAGCAGATGGATTCAGAGGACGTGCTGAACACGCTATGTTGGAACACAGAGGATGGGCCCTGGCCGTGCCCGATGACTACAAGCAGTTCCTTTCCTGCGCTTTCTCCTATGGTTGTAATGAAGAATGTGTTAGTTAAACAGGTAGGGAAAAATTAATATATTGGAAAATGCTACATGCTCTCCAAAAAAGTGTGTTTTACTATTTTCCTTTCAAAAAGAATGAGGCAAGTTGTTACAGTTGCAGTACAGAAAGTAACTGTTAACTTGAAAAGTTCTGATATTCAAAACCTGCCTTTTTGAAGGGCAGCTAAAATCATCAAGATAGAACAGCGGGAAATGTAGTTCTCTTAAAGTAGAACTGCTCTTCTGCTAAACCTCATTGTCTCAAAAGGACCTGCCTAAAATAGATCCTACAAAATGTTCTATAAATAGCACCAGAGACTGAGCAAAAAAAAAAGTATCATGAATATATTTCTCCTTTTAAAAGCTGTTGTTTTCATTTTGTGTACTTAGATACTAGAAAACGTTATTAAGTTTTGTGATTCGTTTTGCTTGGTGATTCTTAAGTCCTAGAAATGTTTTATATGAAATGGGAAACGCCCTAGTTTAGGGCTCTACTGTGCCTGGGTATCAATAGATGAGGACTTCTGCTCCCAAAGTTTTCTCCTTAAGACTGCATGTTCTGTTCTCCATTTACACAGTAAACATATAGCACATGTAAAATTACTTCACATTTACTCAGGTTTATCAAGGTATTTGTCCTGTCCCCCTTCTGACATACCCAGATACTGTTCTTCTAAATATGTTTTGTCCTTGCCTCTGTGATAAGAAGGAAATAATACCAACACTTCACAGGTGATTGTTCTGTACCCCTGTTCCATGAATCAAAGCAAGCAGATCTGTGTCAGAGTAGGTAGCTGAATCTCATTTCCTAGTCTCATTCTCTTAATCGGTCGATCATACTAAATTTTGATGAGTTTCAGCCCTTTGGCTGGGGGGAATGGACTTGAGTAAAATATTTTATCATTTGCCAGCTTAAAATCTGTAAGATGACTGGGGGAATGGGGATGGATTTCAGGTGAGTTAGTATAGGGTCAGGAATAGTAACATGTCTCGATGATGACTAAAAACTGTATGTTTAGCAAGCTTAGCAGCAGCATTCTTAGTAGTAAGCTTTAGGAATTAAAGAAACAGCTGACAGTATGTTATGATTATATTGGTGTAACAGTAGTGGTGATGGCTTAAATATACAAAAAGTAAGACTTTTTTCCAAGAAGAAGGTACCTCTTACTAGACCATTTGGTATGCCTGGAAAAAAACAGGCATAGTTATCAGCCAGGAGATCTGATGACAATCCCTAATAATATATTAAAGGAGGAGGTAACATCTTGTGAAATTGATCTGTCCCCTTACAGCGAAGAATACAGCTTTTAGGAAAATAAAAGCTCAATTTTTTTCTCTCTCTCTGCTTGAAATTCAATGCTTTTAAGGCTTGTTGCTGTACCCTGTATTACAAAAGGTGTGGAATTAAATTTCTCTAAGATTACAACAGGCTGCTTTGCTTAGGCTGGTTGATATTCAGCATTTTTTTTTTTCAACTTCATGATTTTAAATTGATTGAAACTGTGTATTGTATTTAAGACTGCAAGACTTGCTGAACAGCTGTCATCTATTTTAAATAACTATTTCAAAAGCTTGCTATAAGAATAGAAATTACAGGTTTACAGTCGCTGTCTTTCAAAAGGGAAGGAATTTGAATTGCTCTTAGAATGTCTGTGCAGCATTTCTTAGACTCAATTAAAATATTCTGGAACTAAGTGTTGTGGTTATTTTTCAAGGTTTCTGTGTGTTTGTTCTACACAAAATCTGGTAATAATTCTACACCAACGTTGTAGAATATAAGCATACACAGTAATCCGCACATACAAATTCAAATTTAATTGCTTTTAAATGTTTCTGCTGTTCCATAATAAATGGATTATGGCCTTGATTCTAGCACTGTTTTTAGAGCATCACTGTTTTCTAGCATTCTGTTTTCAGAGGAAGGGAAGATGAGTTTGATGTAAATCTGTTCCAAATGCATTATAATGAAGTGTGGTTATCAAATACTGGGAAGAACTGACACAGATCATCTGTTTCACTGAGATTATTTTGCTCCTTCTGTACCATGTAGTTGTAATAATTCTGTTTTCTTGTTTGTGCTTTCCAGGGGAGTTCATCACAGCTCCAGTCTTGGACTGTCCAGCCATCCTTTGAAGTGATTCCAGCTCAGCCACAGCTAGTGTTTCTTCACCCACCGATCCCATCTCCCATTAACTCTCACTCTGTTGGGAAGAAGAAAAGTGACTCGGCTAATTACCTACCTATTCTTAAGTCGTATCCCAAAATAGCACCTCAGCCCTGCAAGAGAGATCACTCCTCGGATCTAGAGGATGGTGAGGAAAGCAGTTGCCATAAGCGCCTCTGCACAGAAGCAACCAAGATGGAGACTTCTCCCTTATCCAGGAGCATGGGTTTTCCCACTAGTCCTTTTACCCCCCTACCAGTAAGCTTTAAGTCTGCTCAGGATTCTAACCAGCAGAGTTCTTCAACTCTGACAAATGGAAAAGTGTCAGCTCTTCCCAGTTTTCATCATATTTCCACTGACACACAGAAAGTCCCAGGCTTGGCTCCCATTTTGCCTTTTGGAACCCTGCAAGCAACAAAGTACACCCCTCCTGAGACTACAGCACAGCACGTGATGCAGTCTGCAGTGTGGAGCCCACCACTGGTACCAGAGGAGATTTGCACTACCCCTGAGCTGCTCTTACAACAGCAAAGCAAGTGCAGACGCTTTCAGAATACACTAGTTGTGCTACGTAGGTCAGGATTGCTGGAGATTACCTTAAAAACAAAGGAGCTTATTCATCAGAACCAGGTGACTCAAGCTGAGCTGGATCGGCTAAAGCACCAAACACAACTTTTCATAGAGGCAATAAAGAACAATGCTCCACAGTCTTGGGCAGAGCTAGAAGCATCTCTGACAGGATCAGAAAAGGCTGATAGCAACATTGAGGATTCCACTTATTCCAATATGTAGTAAAACGGTATATAGCTGTTGTTCAAGTTACTCTTGTGCCTCAGATTTCCTGTCTCAAGCTTTTCCTTGAGCATTTTCTGAATCTGAGACTTAGAAACTAGCTTGCGATGTGGCATGGCATCAACAGCTTGTCTTCAGAGTCAGCGATGGGACTGCAATAGCAGGTGGAATGGGTGCTCCTGCTTCAGTGTCACCTTGAACTCCACGTTAGCTCTATGTGCTTCCTTGGACTTGGGAAGCTTAGATGTGCTCTTGCTACCATGTTCCTGTTATGTTGTGAGAAGATAATCATTTGCAATATTCTTCAAGCAAGCATCTTTCCATTCCTGTCTGCAGATAACCAGTTTGAGAATGGGACAGGAGGACAGGAGAACAGGCCCCAATGCTGGGCCATCCTCAGTTACAAGCAGGTGCAGGGAAGGGAGTTGCAGAGTGAGGAAGGAAAAAGGATAGTGGGTGGTACCTTCAGACTGCTTTACTGTGCTTTGTTGTAGCAGAGAGCCCTTCTTTTGGGTTTATTACTCTTTTGAATTAATGAATCTCTGCTTGTGTTGAAGTGGCGTTCTGTATTCATTGCAGACTTTGACCAAAGCGATGAGACTCTTAGGACCCATCTGAAATGTCCTGTTTCTGCGAGTCTATTTTTGCTTTTAAATTTATAAAACTGGGTGTATAAAAATCATGAAGCTGGCACTGGAAGTGTTTTTTTCCAAAGCCATATTTTGTTTGCACTATCCGTTAATGACTAGCAAGTGCACTCTAAGCAGGTGGCTTTGGATTTTATTTTTTTTTTACTATCTAATGGAATAAACATTGACTGTTGTTATTTAAAATACTGCACTAGGTTTCTTTTTTTTAATGGTACAAAAAGGCGTTCATTCACCAGGATTAATTTGGCAAGCCAAGTAAAACATTATTTAATCTATGTCTCTTTAGCTTATAAGACTCTTTTTTCCCCTAGGTGTTATGAAAGAGAGAGGTAAAGATAAAAGACCTAAACTAGCCTGAGGTGAAACAGGCCCTTCTCCCATCCCTTTATTTTTTTGAGCAGATGAATGCATCTGTTTAACCAAACTGACATTTTAATCTTAATTTGAACCATCTGAATTTGAATTTTTTCAAAAATAATTCTCCTTCACTTAAGTTTATATCATTCATAGCCTGCTTGCCTTGAAATATAGCCAGCACCACAGTGTGCATAAGATGTTAGGCATTATTAGTAGAGCTCGACAGCTGTCATGTTGCAAAAGCAGTTTACAGACATTTATTCCATTTTAGGGTATTTAGATGCTTAACTCTAAGTCAGTCCCTCCCATCTGAAGGATTTTTTTCAAGAAAGCTTAGTGTAAAAGAAAACCTAGAAACTTTCTTGAGAAAACTTAGTCTAACAAGTAAGTTTTCTGCTTGCTTATGGTGATAGGGTCAGTGTGTTCCTTTCTGCTTGAAAATACTTTCAAAAAATTATGCAGCCTGAGTAGCTGAGTATTTCGGTGCGTTGACACTGCCGTCACCTGTTTCAGCTTAAGAAACCTGGAAGTAGAGTGAGTCCCTCGATGCTAATTTGTGACTAGACCCCTTCACTTTTTAATGAGACCTCCAGGAATGAATAGTTTAAGAGATCTTGGAGAATGTTTTCATAGTCTTCCTAAAATACGTGCATTGGAGAAACTGCAAAGAGTTTCCCTCTTGATCACCTTTTTAGACTCATGAACAGAAGTTCACGCCTTGAGAAGAGGAGAAATAGGAGTTGTATTTGCACTAGCCATAGGCCTGAGAGAAGTTTCCTAGCAGGATCTACTGTGGACCCCTAGTCGAGCAGCAGCAGCAGCAAGTAGCAATGCCTTCTGTGCTATCCTGCCTACCTGCTGGACACTAGAGCAGTACATGAGCTAAGATTTTTGTGGATTGTGCCCTGTCATGAGTTTTAAAATACACCTGCTGCTGTTATGGGTTGTAGACAGCTCATAACTTACAGCACAGCAATACCAAAATCTGACCAGAGAAGGCAGAAGGCACTTTAGTGCAATGGGATGTTGCTGGATCTGATCTTGCTGTTTTGAGACCAGTTGTGATACTTCTGTGCTGCAAGGTGTTTGGCAGGATAGATGTGGCAGTATCTGGGACTATTTATGAAAGGTGCCCGAAAGACAGGAGTGTTTGTGCTGATCTCCTTAAAGGAAGGAGAAGACACAGTAGGAGGCAGTTCCATTGATCAGGTACCCACAACAGTCCTAACGATGTGTTGGAAAACATTTAGAGTATGTGTTTATTTCCTTTGCTCTGCTTAGGCAAAGGGAAAGTAAGGCTGGTCTTGCAGGGAGTGCTGTTCTCTGGCATATGAGAACTCTAGCAGACAGAAATCTGCTAGATGGGCCTTAAATCTTTCCAGATCTTTCCAGATCTTTCCAGATGGTGTAATATGTATAAATGTATTTTCAATAAAACCATGAATGAAGTCCAGCAGCTGGGGTTAGAAATCTGTTGCTGGGTATTTAACAAAATCCAGTGGAGAACTATTATAAATCTGGGCCCCCTTAGGGAATATATCCCTAGATAATTATACATCTTGATGTAACTTTTATTGAAGGATGTTGAAGGCCCTTAATGACAGATATGTCGTCAAATACCTTCCTCTTTGGTTTCTCTTAGCTGCCTTTATTCTTGGAAGCCCAGTTAAAGCTTTAAACAGTAAGTGCTTTCTTGGCTGGAAATAATTTTAAAAATGGGTTAAGTTGGAGCTCTGTTGAGAGAATTATTTGATTAGATATGGACCAGAATAGATCCTGACAATGATCAGATCTGCCAGTGGCCTAATAGAGTTGAGGAGAAACTTGAGCACTGAACTTGCAGATTTATATTTGACCTTTGTATTAACAAGCTGTCCTGGATGCAACTGTGCACACCTGGGAAGTCATTAAATTTGCATGCCAGGGCCTCACTTGGTATGACCATTAGCAGGCAGGATAGCTTGACGGGTCAAACATTCCTGTTTTTCTATTCAGGTTTTAGTAGATGTTGGTATTTTTAATTACTTTACAGAGTTTTTTTTTTTTTAATATTACTGCTCTAGTTGGAATCTTGGAATCTAAACATTTTCTGTACCTTTTGGTCCATAGCCAACTCTGAATACAGTAGCTCTAGAACTCCGTTACAGGACATGACCTTTTTGCTGAAATTTTACAGAAACAGGTTATAAATATGAATAATAATAAAAAAAAGGGATATACTTGAAAAGTATGTGGTTTATTCCGATGTTGTTACGCTGCAGAGTCCTCAGTCCCCAAATGTGCTTTATATACAGCTCCACAACGGAAGTGGGAGAGTGAAGATGAAAAAGTGATACTATGGTACTACTCTGTGAAGTGTGTCGTGTGAGCTTCAACAGTGACCTATGCATGAATTAAAGAATTTCTAGGAAAAGCACAAAATAAAGGTGGATTATACAGAAATCTAAAAATATATTCTGGTGGGTAACCATTACTGTAGATCTGTCATGACAACCTGGAAGAGTTTTTACATCTCCTAACTGTTAACTTCTTGTGATGACTGTACATCACGCTCACAGTCTGTGCAAAGTAAACTCCTACACTGTAGCTAAATCTTGTCAGCCAGATACACAGTTTTACATTGTGAGGTGAAGATATATGTATCTTGGCTACTGGAAAAAAAATGTTTCTGAGTGAAAAATTTTCCTCTTTCTCTTGAAAGAGGACATTTGTCAACTAAATCTGTATAACAACTTCTCAGTAAAACACATTTTTCAAAATATTTCAGCCTCTTTGCGGTCTTTTTCTTTGATCAAAGGTCAAGTTTACAGTGAGAACTAAGCTGCTGTTCCCAGGATGTCCAGAAGACTTGTGGATGGAGAGCCCCTGCTAAGATGCAGGAGACTTGGTTAAAGCTCTTTCTTCAAATCTGACAGAGCAGGAACTTGAATATTACTGTTTTAAGATCCAACATCAGTGCCTTGGGTTGAAATCTTTTGTTCCAGAATGGGAATCTCTGTGAATCTTTTCTTGCTAAAGGATGTTGGTGTAACTCAAGAAGGAAATTTTCCAATGTCATCTTGCTGTCTTCTGGTTAGCTTTTCCTTTGCATCATGAAGACACTGCCGCATGATGTCAGGCCTATTCACCTTCATTTTACTAAAGCCAAAAAAGCAGATTGCTGCTTTCAGGTGACTTGTCCATCATGTTTTCCTTTCGTTGTGTGACACTCAGAAAAACCCAAAGGGAGCAGAATCTCATCTAGGATGAGTATAGCTGACTATTATTGTTTGCATTCTTACAATTTCTGTCACAAAAGTGGGATGGAAGGCCTCTCTGCACCACGTTATGCTCTGGCTATATCTTCATGATGCCACCCTTCAGGCAGTGCTATATAATATATATGCTCAGCTCTATAATGCTGCACTCAGCATTATGCAGCTAAGTAACCCACAACTGTGTTGTATGATCCAAAGCATATGTGACTTCTCAGCCCTTGTAAAATTTGTTCCTGCTTTAAGGTCTGTCCGTGAGATGGACGTAACTTTTTCTAAGTAAATTCCTGCAATATGAAGGCGGAAGGAAATGTTGAGCGTTCAGTCTGCTCTCCTGTAGAGCACAGTTTCTGAGACATCCTTAAATTCATGTTTGAACTGCAGTGCGTATGTAGAAGCAACAAGTCATGATTTGAAAACTAGTGGTGAAGAACTCGCATGAATTGTTCAAAAGCTAATTATTCACTATTTAGAATATACCTCTTCAACTGAGCCTGAATTTATCTGCTTTCAGTATCCAGCTGCTGGATATTTTGCTTTTTGTCTGCTGAACTGAATTGCATGCTGTGACATGGCTGTTTTCACTCTGGGCATTTATAAACTGAGCAGATCACTCCTCAGCTTTCTTTGTTAAAGCAACTGATTAAGCTCCTGATTCTTTTCAATCCTTTATTCATCTGCAGGACTCTCATTTGGATTCTTTTAAATTATTTGAATGATTTTTTTTAATTGAGCTGCAAATGCTCCAAGCAAAACAAGATTGCTGAAAGATCTCCAGAATATCTTAACTCTTCAGGCTGCTGCTCTTACATTGTCTATATAGGAGTCCCGCGCATTTGGCCTCTTCCAGACTGAAAGTCTAAATCTTCTTTGGATCTGTTGCTTCAGAGATAAGTGGACCACTGCCTAGTAAGTGTATTTCCACACTCTTTTTGAAAGCAGTTTGCAAAGAGGAAGCAAGGCAAACTGGTGTTGGTAAGTGACCAGTCTGATTCCCTTCGGCCTGCTTCTCTTCTCCAGATTTTGTTTACTGTAGTCTTTATCGGTAATTTTATTTTTATTCCACTTATTAAGAATAATATTAAGATCAAGAATCAATTTTATTCTCATCTTGGGATGATATTATAAGATAAGTTGATGGGTCTGTATGAGAAGAAAAGAAAGGTAATTTTAATGCACTGCACATTATTGGATTACTTTTGTAACCTTTCTGGCTTTTGTGTCATGTTAAATGCTCAACATAAGTATAATATCAATGTTTTTCTGCCCTGAACCAGTTTTTAGTTTTCATTTATATAAATAATGTAATGTCGTAAATTTATTTGTCAAGATCTACTTTTTACAGACTTCAATAGCTTCAGTTATCTTTGTTGTCTGTTTATATGTTTAGCTAATGAAAATATGTGTG